GGGAGGGAACATAAGATTTTTATATAGAGCTTTATGGTGGGGATCAGATGAACTTTATCGTGACGTGACCAAAATCTGCGGACACGCCAGGCAGCAAATAATGACCGTAGACGGCATTGTTATAGGTCAGCGTGTTGACGTGACGAGAGACTCTGTTAGACTGGACTTATTTCACAAATTTCATTTCACGATAAACGTTACCTAAAGCATATTTGGTTAAGGAAGGTTTTTAATCATAGAATTAATCAGTTTCCTGATCGAACTCATGTTAAGTCCAAAATTTTTCATAAACCTCAATCTTGGAACCTATAGATTGAGATAATATGTGATCTGTGTAACAATTAAATTACATGGAGTTTCCTGAACGTTGCATCTGCTGGGAAAAAATTGACTATTTTCTTCATTTCAGCTTTGTCAAAAAGGAACAAAGAAGCCTTGTCCTATGAGCTTCGCGAAGTGGTCCAAGCATTTAGAGATTCGTTCTCAGCCAGATTTTCCGCTATGAAGAGAAAACACAAGAGACAACTGAAATATCTGAGCAAGATAAGGGGCGGACTTACCTGTGAAACTTACCTGTGAACAGACTGCTGAGGAATTAATTGTCAGTTTTTAGTGAGAAAAACAAGACCCACCGTCGAAAAAATGAGAATTTATGACACTTTAAAGTATTCGCCAATAATTTCTTGTCCAGGTCGCGCACGTTTTAACCGTAGATTTTAAATGTGACCTTAAGAATCATGGGTAGAAGAGAAGTAGTATCACGTGTTTAACAGTATGAAAAAAATAGCGTTACGCCGTCCAGCAGCGTTGAGGATAAAAGATTTTATTATTGATGTTTAGAAATGAGAGACTTCTAATAGCTTTTGACAATTAGTTGTAGTCTTTTCTTTTCGACGGAGATATTTTCCATAATTGGAACAAGATTTCTGGAAAAAGGAAAACACTAATTTGTTGTACAAACCAAAATAATGGAGATACGGAGTAAATGGTCTCCAGAATCTTCGGAGCACTTTAGTTTAAGCGTTTGAGCATCTTTTGAATTGAATCGTGATATGTATTGCTGTGTCATGAGTATTTTCATCTGCTAATGTATGCACAGATGACAAGCGGTAATTACACGGCGTCAGTAAACTTATTATGATCAAATACTATCCTCTGTAAAGTCGAAGTTGATAATTTGTCGAAGAGAAGAAAAGGCTTTTACGTGTAACTCATGGTATTGTCATCGTGCTCTCTTAAATGGGCTTAAATTCTACTTAGTAGAGTACTTAAATCTTTTATTTTCTTCATATGCCGTTTCCGCGCCAATTTGATCTAGTTATTAATTTGCCAACAAAACATACAGTCAAAGTGTAATGTTAACAGAAAAAGTCATTCCTTTCCTAAAATTAAATGCCTATTTCATACACTGGTGTCTTTTCAGATAAATTAGCGTCAATATTATCATCATTATCTGTCAGTAAACGTGTCTATCAGAAGAAGAAAAGTTAACAAAATTTCGGCCTAAAATTCGAATTTGCAAGTCTCAATATTCATAATAACATGACCCAACGAAGAAGACGCGCTTTACTTTGTAGACGGCTCATGGCAATACGAGAATTAGAATTGAATTTTATCAAAATCATGATTTGCGATTAAACGGAGTGCTTTATCATTTTGTGTTTCGCTGGATTGTCGCCATGTTAATTAATGGGTTTCCATTATCGATGGAGCCTTGTCTTTACTATTATTGTGTCGCGCTCAAAACTTTTCAACTCCTGTTCTTCTTCAGCATGAATAATTGAACGACTCAAACAGCCTTTGTTCACCAAGTATTTCTATTGGTGTATCTCGTTTGGAACTTTCATAGCACCTGCAGCTCATAAATGAAATGGAGGTCATTTAAATTGACTGTGATGTGCAAACTGCCAAATGTAGCATATCCACGCTATTTTCTTCGATTATGTTCTTCAGGAAACGTAAAGTTTCTTAGCTAGCAATGGCAAGTTGACCTCTTCATGGCTGGTTAATCTATTCCCATCATGTTTTACAAATTATGGATCTTAAATTTAAATTTCATCATCACCGTATTCATTTTGCAGGTAAGATTTTACATTATTACGTGTCAAGACTGTTGTCGACGCTGACAATACCGAACTGTTCTGTCTGTACCAAAAAAATTTCAATTTGTGATACTGTGATTTTTTAGTATCGTACACTTATCTAAGTTAACTCTTCCATAACAGTGTCGTTGTTGATATTATTCTGTATTTAACTAATTGAACTAATTGCTTTGAAGAAAATTGTCTCGAACTTGCGTAAGTGTCAGCTGAAACATCCCTAACTTCAGCGTGGGTTGATTTCCAGTTCTTTCGCGTTTCGATTTCGTTTATTTCGTCTTTCAGCTGTTTAAAGTTATTACAACAAACTTTAGGTTTTGGTATAGGATTCGAATATTTTCATGTTTCACTGCGGGAAAATGATCACAGAGAAAAATCCGGATATGAAAAAAAAAACAAAAACATACTAGTGCCATACTTGCATGGATTTAAGATTGAGTGAAAATAGGTTCAGTGCATTGATACGACGCGACCCTTTTCTTATTTAACTCTTTATAACAAACATAATCGCAAAACCAAAAGGGATGCCATATTGAAATGTATTTGCTACAGAATAAGTGAAATTATGTCAATTTGTTGTTAGAGATTGTTTCAACACTTCCAATAAAAATACTGACTGGTGTAAGGTAAACCTTTATAAACCTTAAAGTTAACCTGAACAACGGTTTCACAAGCTCTAGGTGATGAAGAGATTTCCCCCATCTACCATTAAGGTTTAGTAGATAATATTCTTATGTCTTGTCACTCGTCAATATCTAACGTGGTACCTAGTTTTGTGTGCAAACATTTCCCCTCTTGGTTTAGGTAAATATCATCGTCAAGGTGACGCCGAAAAAAGTTAGATACGTCATATATCGCCAGCCAATGAACCAGGCAGCTGTCGTATCATGATTGATTTTTGGATGAAATCTCAGAGATTGTTTGTCTTGTCATTTTCGAGCGCCAGATTAGCACCCAGTGAGCTCAAAATTAAATGTCAGATTAGTATCCTAACCACTGGGTTAAGCTATTGTTTGACTGACTTTATGTAAAATGGAGGTACATTAAGTCTTGTTTTATTTTTCTACGTTTTTGTTCTCTTAAGACCATTTTTTCTTGAATAGGGGCCACTTGAAGCATTCTGCATGATGTACTGAAAAACCAATTGCTTAGATAACTGTAAAGCTTTCTTCATTTTAGGCAATATTGGTAGGGCTAGAGTTATTCTTAATTCGTGCTCTTCCGTTTTTTTTTTTTATCTCTCCAGGAAAATTGTGGTATAATAAAATGTGAGGGCCAAATAAACGGTAAGTCTGTAAAAGTGAGTTCTTATTCAAACAAATATGATTCAGAGTGAGGTTTGCAACTTAGGATAAGAAGACGAACAGGCGCTTTATTAGGATTTATATACAACCCAACAACCTTTATGTCCACAACATATTTTTTCTTGAATTATACCAAAGATTGCTTTCTTTTCACTTTAAGAAACGTTTATTTCGGGTTTAGGTGTTCAGTCATCTTCCATGGAATACCAAATTTATCAGTTCTGGTGATATTTCATAAGTGAAGTATTAGCATGAAAAAATCTTGTTTTAAATTATGAGATGGTAACGGAGTAGAGATGTAGGCAAAGGGAATGTAAGACTCTTCTTGAGGGTATTATATTAGACACTCATTGTTTCTGTACGATTTATCTTTCATCCAGGAACAGCTCCCGTTCCGGAAGGCGCGAGAGTGATTAACACTACATATAACTATGTGGACGTCCGTTGGAATACCATTCCTACGAGTAATTTTACCAACGGAACAGTTAAGGGATATATCGTCGCACTTCAAAAAGTTGGCGGCTCTGAAGAAGATGAGACTTTGCTAGTCACAAGTTGTCACTCAGACGGGATAAATGTCACAAATCTTGAGGAAAACACGAAGTATTGTGTCCAAGTGGCGGCCTTTACTGAATATGGAAAAGGCAATAGTACTCCATGTATGTCAGCGGTTACTGGAGAAAGAGGTATTTTCTGATGCATGCAATGATATAGCACAGACAAATTTTTATCAGTTAATTCAAATGAAAGGTTTTTTTCAAGACACAATAACGCAAATTCTTTTCCCTTAAAGTAATAGTCCCTTTTTGAAAACATATAAATATATGTGGCACTGAATCTAAGCCACTTACTGTTAACATTATGCATCAGTCGTTATTCACTTTAACCCTTTAACTCCCAGATCAAATTTGTAATTCTCCTTACTCTCAACCATACAATTCTAATAATGTTAGTTCAGAGAATTTATTGGATCAACTAATTATCCCCAAATTGATATTTTTCTTTATTCTCGTCACTTATCTGGTTGATATTGTATCGATATTGTAAGGAGAAATTCTGTCTTGGTCACTCATGGGATTTAAAGGATTGAGTGTCGAAGATTTTGATCGATATGATTAATATTATGCATCAAACAGAGCATGATGAATAAGTTTTTCAGGAGCCGAAGTTCATGGAGTACGTCTTAACTCTTCGGAGCTTTACCTTTTTCAATATATGATTTATTTCATTTTCTTTTATTACAGCTAGAGTAGAATTCACTGCTTTCAACGAAAGTTCGACATCTATTCGATTGAAATGGGAAAGCGATATACCGATCCCAATTGATGACAGTCAAGAAGATGGATTGAAAATAGATTATCGTCCAGCTGATAGAACCGCAGAAAGAAGTCGACTTTTCTGTGGTGGTGAAAGCACTTATTTGTTCAGCAATTTGACTGCATTCACCAATTACTGTTTTAATTTAGTCGGTTTCAACAAGGGTGAGATTATCACAAAGATAAACAACAGCCAGTGCGTTTATACTGACGAAGAAGGTAGGTCCTTAACTTGTTTTATTTCAGTACAATACCTTTTTTTAACGTTAATGCAAACAGAAGCAATGATAAGAGTTTGGGTAGCTCACGCTATTAGCTCAGTACTGTTGTTCTTTCGTTAGTGGGCATGCAAAGTTTTTGCATGGTTCAACTGCTAATCTAACACACAGCCCTCTTTCTCATCTGAGCTTGGGTCCAGCGAGGTAAAACCAAGATGCGGGCTTCACCAAACAGTGTCGATCAAAACTGTGTTAAATAGATCATATTTGTAGATGATGCTGACCACCCATGCTTGGTTGGTCATGGTTTTACCCTGTGTCTTTAATGGGTAATCTTTAACAACTTAACATCAGTATTCATTTTCTCTATGCCCTTTTCTTGTTTAACAATCAAAACTTCTAAGGGTGGCGATCATTTCCCTAATTCTCATGATCTTAATAAATGATTCAGTAATTACTGCTGTTAGGAGAAATTAGATGCTGGTCACTCTTAGGGTCAAAAGGGTTAAATGTGATGACAAAGCGTTGTAAACAGGAAAATCTCAGTCACCTTTTCCCGCCCTTTGCCCGGGTTTCACGCATAAGTTATCCTTAGCGTTTTCCCATTACCTTTAAGCGCCCAGTGGACCGCCTCTTGATGTCACAGTTCGTAATGAAAGCTCTACCAGTATCAACGTGACCTGGAGACCAATCAATGCAAGCCTACAGCACGGAATAATCCTTGGGTATCGCATTCACTACGAGAAGGATATGAATGTTCCTCAGCGTCGAAAGCGACGAAGTTCGCAATCCTTTGACGTAACTGTGCTTGGACAGAACAACCTGACATGGGTTATTGAAGAATTAGAGAAATTCACCAACTACTGCATTGAAATCGTGGGGTTTAACAAGAAGGGTGATGGAAAGCAAAGTAACTGGGTCTGCACCATGACAGATGAGGATGGTAAGATAGAACCTTTTTTAACACTTACAACAGGTTCAGGGACACACTGTAAAAAAACGAAACTATTTCGAACGAAAAACTTTCTCACAAATTACTCCTTTCACTATGAGCTCTAAGTTTTTGTAAGAAAAATCTCAGTTTTTAATATTTTGTAAAACAGAACCTATATCATGTGATACTTCCCTAACACGTGCAATTTGCACTGCCCTTTTGGTTATTGCGTTTCTAAGAAAATTCCGGTTGCGTCGCAAAGAGCGTGATCGCCAACCTTGGGAAGCCTATATACTTCTCACTGCGGATATCACCACAAGTGCACGTTCACGACGTGTTATAAGTATTGTCGTAATAAACGCTACCATACGTTGAAAAAAGCAATTCAAGTTTTCAATGACCTGTTTATTTCAACAGTACCCAGTCAACCGCCAATGAATTTAGCTGGATACAACACGAGTTCAACAAGTATCGCGATTAGGTGGGGTGAAATACCAAGTACTTTTGTCCACGGATATCTCTTGGGTCACCAAATTTCTTATGAACAGATAAGCGGCGAGATGGACGGTTCCCAGACAGCTGTCACCGTTGATATCTCTCCCTACGATAGAAATAAGAGCCTTTCAGGTTTACAAGTGTACACCAAATACTGTGTTCGCCTGGCCGGTAGAACCCGAATTGGGACTGGAAAGAAGAGCGAATGTACGAATATCACGACTGACGAAGAAAGTAAGAAGAAAGTAAAATGAAACGGATCCTTCTTTTTCCACTTCTCTCTCCCTTCTTTCCACTTCTCTCACTTCTTTTACATCTCTCCTTTTCCCATCAATTCACTCACCCACTTACTCACTCACTTCCCTCCATTTGCTTAGGCATTTATTCACCCACACACTCACAAACTGACGCACTCAGGCACCACGCACTTATTCTCTCATTCATTTATTTGTTCATTCATCTCTTCATTCCTTCCTTTCTCACCTTTCAGTTTCTCTTTCATCCTTACCTCCTTTTTTCATGTACTTAACCTTTTAACTCCCAAGGTCTCATTAGTAATTCAGTCTGCCATAAAATACTGATGATTTCAATTTGAAGAATTTGGTATTGGATCAACTTGTAGTCCCCTAATTGAATTTTCTTTTTTATCCTCCTCATTATTTTGTTTGATTCTGTGTTAATATTGTAAGGAGAAATTCTGTCTTGGTCACTCATTGGAGTTAAAGGGTTAAACTTCTGGTTAAGCGCAAATAAATAACAACTTAAATGCTACTTGCTTTTCCAGTCCCAACATCTCCCCCACTTGATGTCACAGCTATCGACGGCACAAGCACAGATACCTTGAATGTGTCGTGGAAGACACCTGTAGAACTCAATGGAAAGTTAACTGGCTACAAGATTTTGGTAGAGACAACACTTGAAAACGGAACAACCCTGACGAACGAAATCATGACGTGCGACAACCGCATCACCCTAACAGACCTTGATATGAACACAGAATACAAGATACGAGTGGCAGCAAGTACAAGAAAAGGACTGGGACCCTTCAGTGAAGTAGAATATGGAGGTACAGTTGTAATGCAAGTTACGATCAAAACTTTGCATAACAATGTTGCTTGGCGATTCTGCATTTATTGTCTAATCCTATGCAAACAAGGCACAGGGATGAAATGGAAAATGATAAAAATTTTAGAGAAACTAAGTCCTTTTTGTCTCCCTTATTTCTCGGTCTTTCCTTCATCTTAACTGCTCTTGTCCCTTCCTCGAATCACAAAAAAAATTCAAAAATTTTACCTCTTAGCGTTTGGCGTTCGTGGAGAAATTGTAGTCACTTGATGAGTAAAATACTAAATTTTGATAATCTTTCAATTCAGTCACAAACAGCCGATCAATTTTCAGAATTCTTATTTTCAAAACACTTATTCATTCAGTCGGCATATTTAAATTACTTGTTAAAAAACTATCCTTTGTTTTCAGAAACTTGCAATTGTCCCGAAACTTTACAAGTAGTTGCTCATCCCAGTTCCTTTGACGCAAACGGACGACCCACTCTAAAAAAAATGATGGAAGAATTAGTAGTGGAAGCCTGCGGTGAGTGTCACACACACGAAAACAAAAAAACAAGGCTTATTTCAGGTCTGGAGGATGACTGTGACCTGAAGTTTCCAATCGTCCAATCCGGTGATAGTGCACAGGAAGCAACTGGAACAAAGTTTGTGGCAGTACTTGATGTACCAGGCTTGGTTGTTCTTCGAAGGAAAGTAGAAACAGAGTTAGGATTTTATGAAAAAGTGATGGCGAGCTCCGTGGTCAATTCCTGGCCCATATGCGCAATATTTGGAGTAATGACTCTTGCTGCAGCCCTACAAATTTGGTTATTGGTAAGAAAATTGATAATTTGTTGAAAGCTTAAGAATCCGCCTCATGGTCAAAACCTCTTGATCATTTTCTCTTAGGCTTCTTGATCTCTACTTGGGGGCGAGTTTTCCTCATAAATTGACCCAATCTTACCGCTCTTCTGTTTCCTCCCAAACTTTTCAGGATATGCACAGTAATCCCGAAGAATTTCCACCAACAATAGTGAAAGGTACCGGTGAAGGGTTATGGTGGGCCTTCATCACTGTCACAACGTTGGGGTAAGCAATTTTATTTGGCCAGCCAACCATATATTTCGCCGGAATGTTGCTGAATAAATTCATTGATTTCTTGGACTAATATCAGTGTTTGTATATGTTGTGTATTTATTTAGGGGAGACACTCACTATTTAATTGCTTTCTATATTCTGTCTTTATTCATCGATCAACTATCTAATAAGCGGGTACAATCGTGTTACTTGATTAAAGTACTTTTACATCATACAGTAATCCCACAGTGATATTGCTAAAAATGGTACAAGTACTATTAATATGTTCACAATACACTATAGTATAATGGAACGACTTTCAACTTTTTTAACGTTATTAATTTCCCTATTTATAAAATCTTCCCGCTTGACGATGTGCTGATGCCATTAGCAAAAGAATTCTTCTTTGATTACTTTGAACTTACAGCAGAGATCACAATTGTTGGCGAATTTCATTGGCGTCAATTACAGCTCTTATACGAATGGCTTCGAATACGATTATTGCTGCTTATTCCTTAAACTATCGTAGTGCGACGCAAATTAAAAGCAAAGTATTGGCTAGGCAGTATGCGCAGATACATCCTCAAAGTATTGACTGCTAGCACCTTTTTCTTACGTTGGTTTAAGGCACTGAGGATTCTGCGTTACTTGTGCTAAGAGCTGCGTAGTAAGTGTAACTCAAACGGAAATTCTTTTCTGTTTTTACAGGTATGGAGATCGAACTCCAAAATCAGATCTATCAAAAATATTTGCTGTGGTGTGGTTCCTAATCGGAATGATTGTGTTTGGCCTTTTCTCCAGCGCTATTACTACTTCTCTGACTGTGGTCGTAGTGACCGGAGGACCCCAAGGAGATGCGAATAAACACGCAAACGTGCGTATTACTATTATAGTAATCATTACTAAGAATAAAAGGGGGGCAGAGGTTTCTTAAGAGGGATACAAGACAAAATCATTCTTTAATCAGTATCAAATATTGTTGGACATGAGCAACTGTGGTTCTTACTCCTTTGGTATAAGGTTTTGTCGATGGAGTGGTATGCTGACATCGATGATGCACGTCATTTTCCGAAGATTAACTCGGTAGATTTAGAGGAGCTCGAGATTTCTCAAGCTGTACGATAAACGAATGAAAACGAGAGCATTTATGATTTTTTTACGTCAAAAGACGCTCCGAGATAAATTTGTTAGCAAATTAGTCATGATAAAGTAAATGGTTTGAACCCAGGAGTATCAGTAGTTCGTATAGCAACAACAGTTCTCTTCAGAACTACACTCACGCTGACGATCACACTATACGAACTAAATTAGTCATGACTTAAAAGCACCGGAGGCCTAATAGAGATAATCTGTCAATTTGTACTTATCCTTCTTTGGAATAGATTTCCACCATAAAAGGTTCCCAAGAAGAGCACATTGCGGTGAGGAAATTGTCCAACAAATTCAATATAGGTAAGAAACAAACTTTGGGAGCTAAAAATGACTTCAGATTTCAGAAAAAAATATTGACAAACTTATTCGCTTGACTGTTTTTTACTCTTGATATCCTCACTGGTGCGATTGACCTGAAGCATTCGTATACTACTTGTCTCATAACGTGAAACTTTTCACACGCAAGATCCGATTGCTAATTCTCCTCCCTAGCTGTTACACATTTCCTTATTAATTAGTTACAAGAATTTAGGGTTAAGATCAAGATGACAAATTCTCTTGATAAATTTGAGAATTCTAATTACCTGTTTGCAGGATAATGGAGAAGTAACAAGTGAATCACTTTTAAGAGTTAAAGAGTTAAGTTCAAGTTGAGCTCATAACAGCGATGGTTTGAAGAGGAAGAAACGTTTCCTGCACCGTTTTGCAATTCAAGTTATACTTATAAATGAGCGCTGCTATTGTGTGCTCGGATTCTATATTGAAGCCTTATTTCTTAGATGCTAGATGAATGAATGAATGGACGAATTTTTTTGATGAAAGACATACTTATCTCTTGAAGGTACTTCGTATGCTAACCTGTCAGATTTGGCGGATGCTCTGAGGACCGGGAAAACTGGTGCCATTTTGTTAGATTTGTTTGTCCATATGAAGAGAAAAGACTTATTCAACCACACCACTACCTGGTATACAGTCACTGAAGTAATTAATCAGAAATTGACTCATGGGATTGAACTAAGAGGTGTTTCAACAAAACTGGCTAAAAAGCTTGAAAACTTTATACTAGACAGAAACCTAGTGAGAAATTTTCTTGAGGACAAGAATGAAAAAGATGAAAATGAAGAGGAAAATGAAGCGAGTACGGTAAGGGACGCAAAATTACTTTCAATTCTGATTTAATGTGAAGATTATGTAGAGTAGAAGAGGTGACTTGGTGGTGGACAGGTTTAAACCCTGACCGAGTCACTGCCCGTTTGGTGTTGGGCGAGGCACATTACAACGGACCTGCCTCTTTTCAGTGAAACTTAACATTTTCCTAAGGAGTTATAACACGTTATTACGTCGAGGTATAGAATTAGGTGTCGCGAATCTCGCTTTTACTTGATATCACAAGGGGACTGGGAATACGGCCAATGTGTGGGTTTATTAGCTTAAACGACTTATGGTAATCCTTAGTAGGAAGTAATGTTATCGTTACGATGGAAATAGTGAAAACGTAAAGATAACGAAAACGATTCGCATAATCACTTTCACTCATTCGTGCCTCGATGGATGACGAAGCAGTTTCTTTATTTCGATATCATTTACACAGGAAACTGTGCAAGAGGAGGAGGAACTGGTATTTTTTGAACCAAAAAGTCCCTTCTTTCAAGGAACATTGAAGTATGGGGGAGGAGCTTTGGCAGGTCTAGTTCTATGTGGAGTAATCTACGAAACTTTTCGATGGCTGAGAGGAAAAAAGATCAGGCATATAGGTAATCCTATTCATTATAAAAAATAACAATATCTGCTGTTATGCAACTCTACAATTCCCATTCATTCCCAAGAGGGCAACATCAATTTTTTGCACTTACTCTTCGCAGGAAGGACCTGCCAGGACGAAGACGAAATGAGAGAACTTGTGGAGAATTTTTACCAGGATTTCACTCAAAAATATAAACAACTAAGAAAGAAAAACAAAGACGTAATCAAATTCTGTAAAAAGCACGCAGAAGGGACTCATAGGTCTGTACAAAAGGAGAGCGATAATGCCAGATGGTGGTAATGCTATTTATTACAGTTTGCATCTGAAAAGTTGACAGTTCAGTCATAGCGTCGCTTGTCAATTATCACACAAGCCATTCATGATCTTGTTCTCTTGATTAAGTCTCGCGGTAAATTGTTGTTACCAAGATGCTTTACACGTGTAACCTGAATTAATCTCTCTCAGAGGAGTTTTCAATTGTTTCGAAAGTAATTCAGGATTTCATTAATTTGCCTTGCCACACTCCTAGAAAAATCGTCCCAATTTCTAAGAAAATGCAAAAATTAATTATGCAAAACTAAAACTAATTTTCCATACTCGCGTTTTCCCGCGCTTCAGGAAATCTGTTTGGTTTTATGTCGAGTCTTCATTGGCTCCTTTTGTTACTTTTTCTTTGTTCTGATTGGCCACCATAATTACTTAAAGTTCGGTTTAGCGAAATCCAATCGATACGCTTTCTGCGAAATGATAAATGTATGAAAATACGAGGATTGGAGGACAGAATTAAAGAGGAGATAGTGATCAAAATTGCTATAATTACCAAAGAAATTATGAATTCTTCACAGTCACTTACAAGTAATAACGTAAAAGAGACTCAATGAATTAAAGAGATGACTTTGGGTTTTTAAGGCATCTTTAGTACAGGTCGTCTCTCAGATTATAAATTCGTCTTGTTGTTGGAAGGCAAGTTTCTGGGTTGCCCAGAAACTTCTCGAACCACCAGCGAGAGGTACAAAACCTGCATATGTTAGAGGTAAATTGTGGGACCGCCAGCCTTTCTACGTTCATTTGTGAAAAAAATTAACAAAGTCATTTAAGGAGACGACCTCTATTCACATAAACATACTAGTAATAAATAAAAAAACAAAAAATGACACAGATGACTGATAAAACTTACGCACTCCCTCTACACTAAAAAACTCCTTTACCTCAGACATACCACAGAAGAGGTATTGCAGCTATGAAAACTCAACCTGAACTCCTGTGGTTGCATAACTGTAATAACATCTGCTTATTAAGTTACTTAAAGAAGATTAGGACTCTTTTAGCGCTACCTATAAATAACTGAGTTTTTTTATACTGATTAGCACGATTAATATTCAGAGGAAACAGCATCGGTTCTCACAAGATGAACTGAGGGGGTAAGATACTAATTTTTTGGTGCATAAACGTGCAATATGACGTTGGTGGAAAGGAATAATGGCTGTAAGTTGTGATTCGTACGCACCATAATTCGAAATTGTAACATTTCATTTCACCTGTGTTGACTAAAACAGGATAAATCGACAGAAATATATGATCCGCGCTATAAGGTAAGCCATTGCCGACTTGTCTCTACGTAATCGATGTTCCATAAAAACATCATTCTTTGATATGGAAAATTGACTTTCTTGATCACGTTCTCGTTTATTTCAAATCAGGACTTCTTTACCGGATTCTTTCTATAAGCCAAGTGACAGTCGGGGAGGAATATGTTTACTCAATAACTTGTACATGACTGTCTTCTTTTAGAAGGAAAAATTCTAACTCGAGACAGGATTAATGATTATCTACTCTTTTACCGTTGTCAATTATTATTCGCCTTACACTGTGATGGGACATCAGGCTGAAATAGTGCTGCTATCTATGACGGTTATTTGATGATTTTCATAATTTCGTTCCCTGTTGACCTTTCATTCATGAGACGTTTAAAAAACGTCAACAGTGAATTTCTGATGAATAACTTTCATTTGGATAAAGGCCTACTATGCCTCATTAGTCATTCCTTTGAAATACTTGTGGGTAATCAATTTGAATTATTCATTTGTTCGTTTGTTTTGGAATGGTTTCTAAGATTTTCTAGGCAGGCGAAGCCCTGATCGACGCAGAAGGCTATTCGATAATAAGCAAAGTTCTCAGTACTTGCTCAGTTCATACTGGATTGTTCTAATCACCACACTTCAGCAAGTCTTGTGTAACACGTAAAACGGTTTTAAGGTGAATTCTGGAAAAGTCTGATAAGCTCACGCTAATTGAAATAATATGTCGGGTTTGCTAAAATTGTTTTTAGCGTGTAAATTCAAAGTATCAATACGGCTATGTTACTTTTCAGCTGTTGAACTCAAGAGACACATAGGTTTTTCGTTTTGTCATGGACATTTCTCGAAAAAAAGTGTGTTTTAAGGGAGAAATAGGCAAAGGGGGCCTCATTCTTATTTTCTGATCTTCCGTCAGTACTTTTCAGTTATCGCACATACTCGAAATGAGGGCAATTTTTACTTTGCAATCAATAGCGTCGGTCCAAGATCATGTTCGATGAAGGCCTCACTAGAGCTGAAGTGCTTCTTATCAATAACAAAATTTTTGACTGATTGTTGTAACTGATTTTGTGAATCTCTACTCTGATCAGCAGGGCAGAGTAAATAAAAAATATCTAACCATTACCCAGATGATATGTGAGGATGTGTCCAATGCACTGTGCTGTAGGTAATGATATTTAATTGAAATACCAAGTCGAAGGCGTAACGTCCGGCCTAATGTTTGACGGAAGAATTACTGCAAATACTTTGCATCTTTAGGAAACTGATAGGATTCGACATCTAATTGTATTTAGATCTCAGTCACCGCAAAATCTCCGGCTGTGGAATCGGCATGCATCATTTCGCTACCTTTTACTCCGTTTCTCAAATCATGATGACTTAAAATCGTAAGCCCAAACTAGCCTTGGAAGTTTTTATTGATAGACATGAGCAAAAGTCATCTTAATCACGGGTTATTTGAAGGGAAAGCTATCATCTAGGTAGGTAAATAATTGCAATTACGAAAGCAGGCGTCAAACACGCCTTCGTTGACAAGATGTTGTTAGTGCCTCTCTTCAAAACATGAAAAAAATCCAACTAGCTAATTGATTTTAAACATTGTGACGTTAAGTTTCCTCAAAAATATTCAACATATAACCAAAGGTCAGCGTTTTAGGTGACTGTTAGTATTACTTCACCATTTGTCGTGATTTATTGCAGCTAATAACTTGCATTCTTAAAAAGAAACAAAAATAAATTGGTGAACATACTGATTTACTGTGAACTTCAAAAATAGTTAATTCTTCCAAATGAGGATTATTGTTGTAATCCTTGTAAGGATGAGTCCAGAGACGGAATGCTGAAGTGGCGCGTGTCTATACATGTATTTCCTCCGATGTTGGCTAAATTTATCCAGAATGCTCCATTCCAAATATGGTACAGGTGACTATCGAGAGGTTTTGTCGCTCCCTTGCGAATATGACATTGTTATTTCCAGCTCCTTAGTATCATCTAAGATAACTCATTTACCTTATGCCATAAAAAATGACCGGTGATTTTCCGTATCAACTTAACATTACAGGCAGGTTTTGATTTATCCGATCATGCGGTTTAGGGTTGGCTCGGCGGTTGCTTATCATCGAATTGATCCCAAGCCTTTTGATGCTCAAAAGCAGAATAGGCTGTGATACCTAGCAGTGTTACTCAAGAAGCAAAAACTCGTTAAAAAGGAAACTGTTTAAGCCCAAAAACAGCATAGGACGTAGTTCAAAGCTTTCTATACCTGTCTAACCGCATAAAGATGGAAAAAGTTTCATCCTGCAAAATAAAAAAAAGCACTTCTTTTAAACTTAACTTTTAAAATCTTTATTCATCTCGAGGAGCAATGCCGGGCTCAAAGAATGCCGACCCCTTGTGGTAGTATTGTGGTTATATAGTATGGCTTGCTTTTGGGAGGACCCTTCAGTGTTATTTATTTCATTGTTATTTGTTTCTTTTTTGTGAGCTCGGTGACGATAGCGTTACTTGTGATGGCATCGTGCCAGATAACATGACCAGTTGGCGTTTAATGCCCTGCTCAAGACTACCAACTCTTCAGACGCTATTCAAAAGTGTCTAGTGTTTCAAGCCCTTGACATGGAGAAAAATAATTAAGTAGACAAGGCTTTACGATCTCAACTATTCATAAAATTTACTTATTTATGGTGTCGGTTTGATTCAGTTATTTACCACCCTTCAATCCAATAACGACTGATTAACCAATTCTTGTTTTAATAGTCCTGTTCGTTATTATAACTAAGTAATTACATCGAGTTTTGTGAAACAAAAATGAACTTTCTAGGTCACGGATTGATTATCTAGAAAAATTGTTCCTAAATTTTTTTATGCTGTGTTAATGATTATCTCCATCCTTAACCTTCCTTGTTCCGTTATGGTTAGATACATGGTGTCTTGTCGGAGCTTGACAAGTCCCTTTCAACTTGGCTGCAGTTACGTTCAAGTAAAATATGCCAACTTGACTGAGTTTACAGAAATTGAGCTAGAATCTTCAAAATGCCGTAAATTAAGGATCTGGCCCCGGTCGATCGAAGTGTAGATAACGCTATCTACCAGATGAATTTCATCCGATTAATAGCGCAGTGCGTCTTTTTACGCACACCGGTGGATAACGATTTATCCGTTGGATAGCGTCTAGAATAACGAGGCCCTGAGGGCAGGTATGGTCTCTATCAAGTGAACGTGAAGCTACGATGTGTGAGTTGACGTCAGATGTTCGAAATATCGTGTTGTAATTCGTAGGTACTGTCACTGAAGGGAAAAAATTGAGATAAAAGAGAAGAGACGTAAATGATATTCAATATGTCAAGTGAAACACGCGTGGAGTGGGCATTTCTTAAGTTTGGGGTCATAAGGGCGCGCAGAACGAAATCCACATTGTTTGTTCATTAAACGCCGGATGCTTTCTTGCTTTTATTTTCCTTTGGCGGAAATTTTTTAAAGAGTTGCTGTTTTTCAGCTATAGAGAAGAAAAAGAGGTGAGTTTATCTTCAATAGAAAACAGTGATTAAAACTAGAGATTATTCACGAAAGGAAAATCTCGTGACGGTTGTTCATGCAATAACTAGAAGCCGCAAACATGCTTTTAATTAAAATGTCAGCAAAAGACTGAATTTACAACTCAACGTCGCGTCTTCACCCAAGCATCCGACATCACTCTAGAGCCTTAAGGGTTGCTTTGTGCATTTCGTAACACGTATAGCAACCTTAATCAATTTTGACACTAGGCTGAAGGATGCTTTTGTTTGACATTTTCCAGCTTTGTTAGCCGATTGCTTATCTGCATTAAAAGGAGACTAAACTAATATTTTCATCAATAGTGAATTTCAACTAAGGACGTGATCCAAGGGAGCGCAATTAAACAATGAAGGTTGCTTGCTGTATGCTGCTGTTAACGATTGCGCAAATCAAAGGAACGGCAGGTGAGCAGATTTTTTAGTAATTACCGTTTCATTTGAATGTTGTAGTTAATAGTAACCATAATCATACCAATGAAACTTCGAAAGTTGGGTGCCTCTTTCGCTGTTTTGGAATTTAATTACTCTATTATTATGATATGGCATCGTTTCCATGTCTTTAAGTGCTTCTATTAAAGGTTACTTATGGCCTCTATCCGTAACAAACGAAAAAAACCTTTTCGCTCGTAAACACAAGTATCACTGCTCTGATCTTCTCTTTTCCTCGCATATTTCGGATTACGATCGGAGCTCTACGTTCGAATGAATTATGCGGAGCGAAAGTGGAATTAACTTTAAGACTGATATGTTTAGACAATCATACGCTTACGGACACACTTTAGTAACTTTGCAATTAGGTTAAAAAGGATTTTTTACAGTCAGAATGTTGATTATCACAAGGATACAACCAGGGAGAAACTGTGTCGGTATCACAAGTCTGATCTTTTAGCTTTCCTAAGTGAGCACGGCCGTCTCTTACGACAAACGTCCTCGATAAGCGATGGAATTATTATGTCTCTTGTTCATACGCAAACCATTACTAGCACTGACGAGGCATGTGTGTGAATAAAGTTAGTTCAAAAG